CTCTCTCTCTCTCTCTCTCTCTCTCTCTCTCTCTCTCTTCTCTCTCTCGATATATATATATATATATACACACACACACACAATACCATATGTCCTATTTTTAGGTGCACAATACCAATGGCATTTTGTGAGATGGCCTCAGTTGTGATTTATTATCACTAATCGTACGTTGTGTGCTAAGTGCTAGGTTACAACTTTTGGGTCAGCAAAAATTAAGCAACCAATGTATCCGTGTAACATTGAAAAATACGGATTCGGCTCCTAGTTCACTAGGCGACCCATCTAGGAAACTTCGGGGTCTAGGCCCCAGGAAAGCTGTTTAGAGGGGTTTTAGTTGCCTCAAAATGATCTTAGAATCTCACTTAACATTCACAAAAAAAAAAATGATCATAGAACCTATATTTTTTTAGAAATACTAGGCAACACATTATCGAAGTCCCTAATACACCATATTACATACATATATCAAATATGAACTTGCCATTGAATTACTTAAGAGTCTAAAAGTCAAATTAAAAAAAAAAGGGATTCCCAATAGTCCAATATCCATTTCCCAAAACCAACATCCAACAATATCAGCTCATCAGAGTCTAAAAGTCAAATTAAAAAAAAAAAGAAAAAGGATTCCCAATAGTCCAATACCCATTTCCCAAAATCAACATCCAACAATATCAGCTCATCATAGCCAAGTGAAACCAAAAAAGAAAAAAAAAAAAAAGTTCAACTCCATTGGCTAGGGGGTCAAAGCTAGTATCTATTTGATAAAACCTACCATTCGCTTTCATGACAAGTTATCAGAACATTTGCTTACACATAATGCGACGGTATCATAAACCCACAGAGTAAAAAATATCTTAAACCTATAAAATATTATATACATGTACACACATACACACTAGTGATATGCCCGTGCATTGCACGTGATAGTAAATACTAATCATTGAAATAAATTTACAACCTTGAAATGACATTTTAAGAAAGACATTCACTTATAAAGATAGAAAGAGACAATTTGATGTGTCCGTCTTCAAATATGCGCTACTATTAGATAATAATTTGTCTATATATATTCAAAATTCAAATAACTTTTCCAATAATATATCAGTAAATAACTCGAAATAATAATATATTACTAAATATTTTATTTGCTCGTAAGTAAACATTATTCTTCAAATATGTAATTTACTTATAAGTAAATATTATTTTAGCAAAAAGTAAAATCATTATAGGCACCAATTTTTCCTTTTTTCTTACAAAGAAAGAAAATGCAAAACAAAAGGAAAGAGAAAAACTATAATGATTAAGGGAAAATAGTTAAGGAATTTTCTTCCTTTTTGTTTGCCATTTACTAATATCATCATCATCATCAAAGCCTTTGCCCAACTAATTGGGGTCGACTACGAATCGTGGTCCACCATTATACTCTATTAAGGGCCATACCCTCAATGAAGCCACAAGTCCCCATATCGTTTCTCACTACTTTCAACCGCATCCTTTTGAGCCTACCCCTTGCCCTTTTCGAGCCGGTAATATTGGGCGCAATTGAATCATAGCTCGTTAAACTTTCCAATAGTGTAAGAAAAGCTATGATTGGGGCATGGATCAAAGGCCATATTTTGTATCCAACACTCTGAACATGGCTAATTTTCAGATTTTTATATAATTAAATATGCAAATCTTTCTCAATATAAAATTTTTTTTGGCCGTTTCTCGGATGGAAATGCTTGTAGGATCGAGCCCTACCACTTTCCGACGATAGACCATCAAAAATCCGCAAGAAAATGTAGAAGATGTAGACGAAAAAAGGCACATAATTCAAGAAACTAAAAAGGGCCCAAAACTTAAATCTTTGAGGTTTTGGGTGAAAATTGTCACAAAACGATCATAAACTTGTCACAAAATAATCGTGGTGGCCTGATGTGCTTTTATGACGAATATATTGCTCGTTTTAGTGCTGGAACATCAAAATTCAATGCCCCATACCATGGGGAAAGGGATTATACGTGAAATTTGGGACTTTGTGTACCCCAAGTTTGGACATTTCCCATTTGGTTGAAATTGTTATTAATTTTCTACACATCTTTTTCCCCATGTTTTGATCATCCACCCAAGTTTATAATCAAGTCTATACAAAACCATGACGCCTTCATTTCTAAAGGTTAGAACTCATTAATTTAAAGTTCATTTTCTTGGAGCTTAATTGTGAGAATACATTTTTATAGCTACAATTCAGACTGCAGAGAATTCTAGTGAGAGAAAGAGTTTTCCTAGAGAGAAACCCTAACCCTAGGACCTAGAAAGAGAAACTCCCCTTAAAGAGAAATGAATTCTCACAAACTAGAGTGACATGAATACCCTATACATAAGAATGAATTCTCTCTAGGTCCTAGGGTGAGAAAGCTCTTTCTCTCACTAGAATTCTCTAAACCCTACCTATGAAAATGAATTCTCATAAATTAAGATCTAAGAAAAAGAACTCCAAATTCCAATTAATGGACTCCAACCTTTACAAAATGAAGGCCTCAAACCTTTTTATAGACTTAATTACAAACATGGGTGGATGTTCACGACATGGGGAAAAGACGGCAAGAGCATTAAAATAAATTTCGGCCAAATAGTAAACTGACCAAATTTAGGCGTTACAAAGTCCCAAATTCCACATCTAGTGTCTTCCAAAGCCTCATAATCTCATAACCATAGTATGGGGCCTAGAATCTTGAAGTTCTAGAGCCAAATCGAGTAATATATTGCCGTAAAAAATATAGATTGAGCCACAACGATCATTTTTGTGCAATATTTCACTCAAGAACTCAAAGGTTCGAATACATTTTGAGCCTTTTTTTTTAATTTCTTGAAATATGTACATTTTTTGTAGACATGTTATTCATATCTAGCAAGTTTCGACCAGATTTTTTACAATCTATGGCCAAAAAGTGGTAGAGCTTGATCCTACAAACACTTCCTCATATCATGAGAGAGAGAGAGATGCATCTTTAATTCTATGAAAATCTTAAAATTAGCCATGTTCAAATTGTTGGATGCATATTGGCCTCGAAACAACCTTTGAAAATACCTCATATCAAGAGAGATATGCACAAACGGTATATTTCCAATAATTTTTCTGAAAATGGTATCAATCAAATGATGTCAAATCGCAATGAAATTTGGAACATAAGGTTTTTTTTGGGCTAATCCATCATCCCACCAAGTTTTAGCTTCATTGGACAGCATTCGTTGGGGTTTGCTTTGTAGATCGACCCAATTTTGGGTCACCAATGGTATGAATAGACCCTAACAGTGGCCTCTGACTTTAGAACCCCATATATCGAGCATCCAATATTGGAATGCCCAAATTTTTAGAGGGTGTCTTGGAACATCTTAGATGAACTTCGACTAGTTTTGATGACCTTATGAGCTCATCTAGTTGGCGTTTGGCTCATCTCCTTTATCCACCGTCAATGCTCAAAAATGCAGATTCGACAGCTTAGGCGGTTTGGGTGCCTGGCCGCCTAGGTGCCAGCCTAGAGACAGGATGCCCTCACCAAAATTGAAACCCCCCCCCAACAACATCCCACCCCAAGCAGAAAAAAACATAGTTCTGAGAGCATGGTTTAAAGCCTTAGGGAGGTTTTAGGGCAATTTTAGTGCTGCAAACTCCTCGTGATCACGAAATAGACAAAAACATAATAGTACAATACAATACTACAATCACATAACAGATTTACGGATGATACAAGTCTCAAAGAGATTGTAATTTGTAAGTTGCAAGACATTAAAATGCTTGAAAACCCAAATGTCATTGTAGGAAACTAGAAGTCTAGACTAGAAACGATACACGGCAAAATAAAAAAACAAATACATCAAGTCATCAACCAAACAACTCTATGGCATTAGCGGCATCACCATGCAAACGTCGTCTATTGGGTCACCAAAAGTTCTCAAAATCAACTACTAGAAGCTCCAAATTCACCCACGAACTATTGCCTTTGTTTTGGGAAGATATCGAAAAAATGAAAAATTTATCAATCTTTCCATATATCACAAAAGAGTGGTTTTTGGGGGGGTTTTCTCACCGTAAAGGCCACGGTTTTTGTTTTGGGGGTTTGGAATACCCCCCAAAACCCTTTTTCCCTTTTTAGGGGGAGGAAATTACATTTTTCGACCCTCACCGAGGGGTTTTTTTTCCGCCCGTCCACAAAGTGTCACGGGGTGTGCCTAGGCAAGCGCCCAGACAATAGTGCCTAGGCGGCGCCTTGCCCGCCTAAGCAAGCACCCAGAGATAGGGCACCCAAACAGTGCCTAGGCATTTTTTAAAATTTTTCGCCTAGGCGATCGGGCTGCCAAACTTTCGAACACTGCCCACCTTCTTTATGATAGTCCAATATCACAATGATGTCCAAACTCACATTTTTGCCCAAGAGGTATCATTTCACAAATCATGAGGACCCTCATGATTTGATTCTGATATGAGATCGTTTTGATGGCCCTCGATGGGTTCTTGTAGTTCTTACACACATGATATCACCTTACTTGTTTGAACGGTCGACCCAATGCTTCTGCAGTTGGCAGGTTACCATGGTTTGGAACTTTGGATACCATTATATTCCCCCCTTTTAAGTGTTGTATAATACATGGCCTTCTTATCCATAGCTGAGTTTCAATCCCATGTTGCTAGGATGAGATGGCCACACTATAGTCCAATGTTGGGCCCTCTACCATCTTGTGCTCTCTACACCACCATAAGGAGGATTTCTATTGATTGCATATACTCTCATAAACAAATGACAACAATGGGAAATCAAATCAAAGAAGAAAAGATGACATATATAATAAAATGATGTTTGGATGAGTATAAAGGTATAGGTGTTCATACTCCTTAATGATGTTTGGATGAGTGTAGGGGTATAGGTGCTCATACTCCTTGCGCACGTGTATTGAGAGAGGCATCTCATCTCATATGGCAATAGATTGAAAAGTTGAATCATTTATGCATTATAAGAGGGGACACCTACAACTGGCTAGACCATCTCACACTATACACATATTGGGTACTTGATGCCTAATAATGGGTTGTATGCCAGGGTATTGGGTGCTCAACCCACATTATATACAAGTGTATTGGGTATTCACCAGTCACCACCCCTATCTTGAATATATGTAAATGCATTCAGTACTCACAATCCATTTTGTATGAGTATGGGGCTTTAACATCCCAAAGAGAGAGAGTGTCATGTTTCTATTGCACATTAGAAGGCCGGAAACATGTGTTGGCACTCATGGCCCAAAACATTTAGCTAATGTTTGTATGGGGTTTTAAGCCCCTTGTGGAGTATAGTGGGTGGTCATAGGCTGCTAGCAAGTCTTTGCCCACACAAAACTATATTTATGGGTTTTAAGCCCCTTTTTAGACTAGCATGTGGTCACACAATAGTTACACAGTTTTCGCATGGTGTTTCAAGCCCCTTGCAGACTAATTTGTGATATTTGGGCCTACCCAGCATTCTCTAGAGTATCGTGCCTACGTGATTGGGCTTACGTTAGGCCTGCACATGATTAGATTACAGCTGTCGATGCCATGCAAATTGACAGATATTTAGGTGATGCACTCGATCTGAAATAACTGAATAGGGGAACTCATCTGATAGATGGGCACGGGATAGCAGCCCAATCATGTTTACACGTGCTGCCTCTTCAAAAGTGGTTGGCTCCTTGATTTCCTAGATGTCATAGCTACCATGACGCATAAGCAGCATTCACATATTCAGGACTGGCCTTTTGTATACATGCCATTCTCTACAGTATTGGCCTATTGGGCTATTGCATGGTGGGCTCTTCAAGCTATGTGGGACACACCTCTTCTGGGGTCAAAAGACAGTATCATATTAAATCCTGTTCTCGATGGTCTTTGGGACTGCAGTCTCCCAAAAATCAGTTACTATCCGCCAGCCCCCGCACTCCTTGTTACTACCCATGCCTTCCCTCATGCTCGGGTCATCCAAATGTGCAACTTTAGAACCCAACATCTGAATGCATGGGATGGGTGGCCATGGGGTTGGGAGGGTGAAAATGTGGGTTTCTCACATTTAGTGATTGTATAAACATCATCAAGGTCACTTAGGCAAATACTCCATTTCATTACATATTCCTCATTCAAAAACGAAAGACCAGTTAACAATTTTTTTATGGTCTAAGAAGGGTTTACGCTGGAGAGGGTATGACCAGGGAAAAGGTCACACTGGGTCTATTAAACAGAAGTTTTCTAACCAAAGCAAACATCCAACAGTTTCAAGAAATAAACTAAGAAAATCATTAATGCCTCTTCAATCTCCTAGAGGAGTGTATTCTATATATTGAACCAGCTCCAATGTGTATGACGACTATACTGTCAATCCATCGCAGACTAGTTAATCAACAGGACATCCTGCTGTATGATTTAATCTTTGCTTTCAGCAATTCAGTTCAATAGTCCAACGGCCCTTATTTAATAGTAACCAAATGTTTTTTTCCTAAATTGTTAACGGTTTAATAGTAACCAAATGTTATTCATCTAACAAGATACACAGAAAAACAACAGAATACTGAACTGGCCCATGCATGATGACATAATACAGCAGATGAAAAAAATAAAAAACAAATAAGTAACCCAAGATACCAAAATGTATCAGAAATATGTTCCCTTCTTTAGATAAGGACCCTTGGTTTCATGCACTCCATACTTATTTTTATAACTCGCCTAAATTTCTTATTTTGTGGATGGTATATTTTATCATCATGATCCCTGGAGAAAGCCTAATAAAGAAGAAAAATTAAGAAAATATACTACACGGCTTGCTGCAAGCACTTCGAACATTAGTAACCATGAGGACTAAAAAGTCAAGAGTAAAAAGGCAACTAAGAAGATCTACTATCAGCAGAACTCAAATCCATAGGCTGGGTAATCAAATGCATAGGCTGCGTAAGTAAAGATATTTTCTACCTATCCCAGCAGCTTTCATCGCAGCCACCTTTGCAGCATTCAGATCCTGTGCAATTTTGGCCTCATTTGCAGAAGATTGAACAGGTTCAAGAGTCTCTTTAGGAACAGGTTCTTGTAATTGCTTCAAACTCAAAGATGACTTGTCATCAGCAACACATGTGGAGGATTTTGAAGGCAGATGCCCTGAAGAAATTATGTCAAACTCAAAATAGTACCATAAAAAAATAAAAATAAAAATTCTTTTTGAGGTTAACCAATGATACAGAATTGGTAACATCAAGTTGTAATAAATAAAATTTGTTCTAGAAAATTATTGGAAAGAACCAGCAAGAAACCACCAAACACATAATTATTTTTTAAAAAAATCTAGATAGCATATTGCAAAGTCAACAAATCAGACCACATGAGAGGAATTCCAGCATGATTTCGCCAAAACCAGCAACTCAAATAATACATTGTCAGAACTTAAGGTGGTACTTACTGTCGGTTGCATCCCCTGAAGACTTGTCAGCATCAAACAACTTGCACTTCTTCCCAACAGAGGCTTCATCATCAACGGCATGCACATTTTTATCTTCACTTCTCCCATTTCTGAAACTTCTGTCTCTATAATCAGAAGAACTTCTAGAATAGCCTCGACTATGGTCATCTGATTCTCTATTGTATGAGTCTTTATTCTTATACCGATCGCTTTCATCATCCCCCCTTCTTCTTTGAACCTTGTCTTCTATGTGTCTTTCAGATTCTCTATTACTGCTCCTATGAATTTCTCTTGAGTGTCTGCTACCACTGTCCCGGCCAGAAGCTGAATCTCTCGCATATCCCCTAGACCCTTCATAGGAGGATACTCTATCTCTCCTGGTATCCCCCAAACTCTTGCGATAATCTCTGTAATCATCTCGACCTTCCCCCCTATCCCTATATCGCTCTCTTTCCCCCATTTTCTCTCTCTCCATGTTTGTGTTTGCTGGCTTGTCTATATCCCTATAACGCCCTTGTGTTGCAGAATCTCTTTCCTTTCTTCGACCTTCATCATCTATTTTTCTATCACGAGGAGGTTTATCAGGATTTCTTCTATTGTCTCTGAAGTTATCGGAATCCCTGTCACGTTTCTCATATTCAGCATGGCTGCTACCTTCTAAGTCTCGAGTGATTCGAGAGGAATACCTTTGCGAACTTCTTTCTTCAACCTCACGTCTGTGCTGTGACTGGTGTTTACTGGAATCATCATGCCTGCGATAGCCTTGGGTAATCCCACGAGAATGCCTATCATTATCTCCATATACATCACTACCTTTGCCATATGAATCACTACCTTTGCCAGATCGATGATGGCTTGAATCCCTCTCCACCTCTCTTTCTTCATCCATCCTTGTCCTCTGATCATTAGTTACTTTTCCAGCCTCTTCCATTGATATATTTGGACTGTAACTGTGGCTGTGCTGAGGACTGCCTGCTTACAAATTACAAACAAGAATTATAATGTGTCGATGTAAGGGTCTAGGTGAGTGAACCTTAACGATACGGATCTAGGAATGTCCCCAACAGCCAGTGTCTACAGAAAATCATAGTCTATAGGGACCATGACGAAAAATCAAAATCTATTTGGACCATGACCCTACAGGGAGAGATGAGTTAGAACCAGAGGAAAAGGACATGACCTCAAAGGTGTTCCCACTCCCTATCAGAGTCAATTTTCAAGGGGCTTTCATGACCCCAAGAGACAGGCTAATGGATCCATTAGACCTTTTCACAAATTCCAGTTTCAAATGTCAATGACTGAACCACTTAAAGATTGCCCCGGCCTTCCAAATTAAAGATGAGAAAATTATAAAACAAAGATGAATCTCCAAAAACTCTACAATTGAAAAGACTACACATTTGTCAAATGTAAAAATGTTCCCAGCACAGTACTTACAATAAGCCAATGGGTTAAAAAGAGCTGCAGCACTACAAGATTCTAGAGAGATCTGTGAAATTTCAACATTACTTTGTTAAGTAATAACTCAACATATCATCAAAGCAGAGAGCACATTATTTATTTTTATTTTATTTTTTTGAATGTTAACAGTAAGTATTAGAATAGGAAGATTTTTTACAAAAGCAAGGGTCGAGGTAACCCACAGACCGGGTCTCTCAACCAAAAATTGGTCACTAGGGAGTGACCTGTTCTAGAAGACTGGCTCTAAGATCACCAGTGAGGCAAAAGATAAGCGCTTATATAATCTACCCGTTACAAGATAGAAGACTACAATCTAAAAAGAGGAGGCCTCCCCGCCGCAGAGAGCACATTAATTAGAACATAACCTTCGGCAAAGTTCCCTATTTTTAATAATGGAAAGCTTGAAGAATGAGATGATTTTTTTTTTGAGAATAAGAATGAGATGGTTCTTAATTTGGGGCTTAAGATATTAAGCAGCCTAAGCTCTATCAAGTAACTTTTAGGTCAATTCTGCCTAAAATTAGTCAGGCAACTCCCAGGATATTGAAAAAAAAAAGTTGCAACCCAGGACGCAAAACCCTTAGATGGTCCAGCATTAACCACATTAGGGTAGTTCTACAGTCTGATGTCTATTATATGTAAATACATATAGCAAACCCAAATTACTCCTCGTGAATATTCAACACTTGTATATACTCTCCTTTGAAGCATATTTTTCTTTTTTTTGTGCCATACGTTTGACCGAAATTAGTTCACCAGACCAAAGGAGGAAAACCAATACAGTTCACTGGCCATATCATCTAATTTTCAGTCTAATTTTCAGATGTTGCCACTGTAAATTACAAACACATGGCACTCTAGTCCAATATTTAACAATATGAATATCTTTGAGTGAAAAGAAAAGAGATAAATATCAAAAAAAAAGAAATGAGAAAATATCAAATTAAAAGACATCTCTTTTTTTTTTCTCAAAATGGGCCCATCCATAGTGAACATCCATAGTGAACAAAAAGCAGAAGAACATCCGTGAACAAAAACCAGAAGACAAAACAAAACAAACAAGAAAAAGTAAAATATTAAAAGGATCAAATGTGCACTCACCACTTGATAGAGGTGAAGCTGAACCAGATGTAGGTGAGCGCTTCCGATACTTCCTTTGGAAAGCATCATTCGAAGGTTTGCGAAACGATGGCTTGGGTTCAACAGGATCCGGAGAGTATGATACCAAACCAGAATCCATGACAACCAACCTCTAAACAAAATTACAGATAAATTAGGCAAAAAAGTGAAGCATTATCCAAGTATTTATTGCAAGACAGCCCACAAATAGAGTCAAAAAAAAAATTTTAAGAAAAAATATGACAACGAAATAAGACTTATCACAAATGGAAGTTACAAAGGGCCCCAAAAGAAAAAGGAAAATCATGAATAAGATAAGCAATATCTAGTTTAACAGGATATCAGCTCTTTCAGCAGCCAAAAACTTAAAAAATAAGTAAGAGAAACCATGAACAGGAATACCAACAACAAAATCAACAATGAGTATATCCCTTAAGATAAATGAAAAAAGGGGAGAAAAAAACAGAGCTTGCATCAAAAATAAAATACTAGAAATGTATCACGAGATGCAAATTGCTAATAAAATGGGAAAGAATATCAGATGAATTCTCAAGAGAAACAATAACAAAAAAAGAGATATACAATATTACCTTGGATATCTAGAATTTCCACACACAAGAACGAAATTTAGGGCATCTCAGTAACATGAAGCTGAAAAGTAAGGCACGGCCCTAACGAGCACAAATTTACAGTTTCCCTGAACAACAAAAAATTTAGACATTCTCAGTACCATGAAAATCGAAAAAAAAAAAAATACAACACAATAAAATCAATCCAAACATTTCTAGGTTTTCCCTTGATACAGAGAAATTCAAAGGTTACCATAACATAAAGATCAAAAGTAGTGCCCCAAAAACTAGAGTTTCAATGAAGAGAAAGCAAAACCCTAGGTTTCACCCTTATGAAAAGCTAGGAGGATGCCTTATTCGTAGCGTTTGGAGCACCTAAGAAATGCGATGCCGAACCAGTAAGAGTGCAAACAGAAAAAGCGCACTGTCATATAGTGGTATTTAATTACGGTAACACTCCTGAATATTATTGTAAATGACACGAAGGACTAACGAGATATTTCCCATTAAGGTTTAAAAAGAGGTTCAATTTTTAAAGTGATTGCATGTGAGGTTATTTACCTTTTAGTACGTGATCACAGTTATTTACAACTATTCGTGATTGCTTAAGTATGTAGAATTCGAGATAATTTCTTTTAAATTTTGACTTTAGTCGATGAAATAAATGCAGCTGTCCATTTTCACATATCAAATGTGGGGGGACTTTTATGTCGGCAAAAAAAAATTAGTGGATTTCAATATAGGTTGACACTTTATTTAAGTTATTTTCCTTACATAAATATCTAATATATGATAAAAGTATGCAATATAAGGCCAGGCTTTATAAAGAAAAAAAAAAGTAAGCGGCCTTTTGAATATCATCCCAAAAACACTTTGGGTATAGAGAATCTTTATGATATCCAAAATCAATTTTCACCATTGGATATGAAATTTGTAGCTCAATAAATAATAAAATATTGCATATTCATGAACAACAATGTCTTTTATTATTAAGGTTTAAAATTCTAATTTTTTTTCACAACCATAATGCCAATGTTAAGATGATCAATTTAAAATTTTTCTAGCTTATACACACACAAACTTGTATGATATTATTTTTTTTATGATAAGTTCCCGTGGTAATATATTGTTTTCACTACTTTCAACTATTGAATATTTGCCTAAAAGCATGCATAGATATACCGTATTTCAATCCTAGATTTTTTTTTGACAAATTTGAATAATCACATCTTTTTCTTTAAGGGCTCGTTTGGGTCTTTGGATTCAGATTTTAATGAGTCACTTTTTATGGAAAAGCTGGGCCAATTGTGTTTGATTTGCTAAGAATTCACATTTCAGTTGGAATTGAGATTTTCATGGGAATTTTGAATGCTCATTTTAAACCTAAATTTTGGAAATCTCAATTCCACCAAAATAGGTGGAATTAACATTTCACGGAAATGACCCATTTTGCTGCTGAAGAACAAAAAAAATATTAAAATTTTAGAGAGGAAAACTATATCAAAGTTTAACGAGATAAAACAAATTAAAATTTTAAAGAGGGAAACAATATCAAATTTTAGAGAGAGAAAAAGTACAAAAATTTTTAGAGAGAAAAAATATACCAAAAAAATTTAGATAGATAAACTATATCAAATTTTTAGAGAGAGAAACTATCTCAAATTTAAAGTTGTAGAGAGACCAAATTAAAATTTTAGAGAGATAAACTATCTCAAATCTTAAGTTTTAGAGAGAGAAAGTATTTTAAAAATTTAGAGAGAGAAACTACATTAAATTTTAGAGAGAGGAACCACTTAAAAAAATTTAAAGCGAAGTATCTCAAATCATCTAGCAAGAAATTATCTCAAATTTTAAATTTTAGAGATAGAGCATATTAAAATTTTAGAGATTAGAAATTATATCAAAGTTTAGATAGAAAAACTACCTGAAATTTTTTAGAGAGAGAAACTATCTCAAATTTTTAATTTTAGATAGAGAAAATATGTTAAACTTTAGAGAGATAAACTATATCAAATTTTAGATAGATAAAGTTCCTAAAATTTTTAGACAGATAAACTATTTAAAAATAAATAAATAGAGAAACTATCTCAAATTTTAAGTTTTAGAGAGAGAGTATATTCAAATTTTAGAAAAAAAATTACTTGAAAATTTTAGAGAGAGAAACTATCTCAAATTTTGAGTTTCAGAGAGAAAAAATATCTTGAAACTTTAGGGAGAGAAAATACATCAAATTTTAGATGGAGAAAGTACTTGAAATTTTTAGATAGACAAACTAATCTCAAATTTTAAAGTTTAGAGAACGATACTACTTGAAATTTTTAGAGAGAGAAACTATAATAAAATTAACGTTTTAGAGAGAAAACACCTTAAAATTTTAGAGAGAGTAACTATATCCAATTTTAGATTGAGAAAGTATCTAAATTTTTTTAGAGAGAGCAACTATCTGAAAATTTTAAAAAGAAACTATCTCGAATTTTAAGTTTTAGATAAAGACAATACCTTAAAATTTTCGAGGGATAAACCATATCATATTTTAGAGTGTGAAACTACCTGAAATTATTTAGAGAGATAAACTATCTCAAAAATTTTATAGGGAAAAACTAGCTCAAATTTTAAGCTTTAGAGAGAGAAAGTATCTCAAAATTTTAGAGAGAGAAACTATATCAAATTTTAGAAAGATAAATTATATAAAATTTTAGAGAGAGAAACTATCTCAAAAATTTTAGAGAGAGACTATTTCAAATTTTAAGTTTTTGAAAGATAATGTATTAAAATTTTAAAGAGAGAAACTATCTCAAAATTTTTACAAAAAGATGATTTACATTTCCAATAAAAAGATATTCCACACAATCCAAATAAGGAATAAGTGAATTGCAACTTCAAAAATTTGACTCATTTTTTCTCTTATATTTTTCTTGTAAAATTTGAAATGCCAATAAATATAGGGTGTGCTTTATATAAGGTTGCAACCTTAAACAGTTAAATTAAGGCGCACCTCCAAATTTTATAATAATATTATCGATAAACAAAAATATAAATAATAAATTGGTTTTGATCCAAGTCGGAGGCAAAAATACATAACGCCAAAAACTATATAAATGAAAGAACCATGAATATTTCAGATTCAGCTCAAACTAACAGAGTGAAAATAATCAAATATATAAAGATGAAAATATTGTAAGGATACTTGCCAAAATTTGTGTCAATGTTCACTAAACCCAAGAACAATAATTCCTCCACCATCTCAACACAAAATATACAAGGGTTTTATTGGAAAAGTAGAACGGAACAAAAATAACAATATTAATTCCAACAATTATATTAACAAACAACAAAAAAGACAATTCAAGATATTTGATTACTCCTAAAACAAAATCTCATATTGGGCTTAAAAAAAAAACGCACACAAATACAAAAATCCAAAAATGCGAAACAGTGATTCATCCAAATTATTGTGCTTTACATACTGACCTGATACCAAAAACATTTAAAAAGTGAAATTAAATTAAATTTCTAGATGTAGAGAGAAAGTGGCGAAAAGCTTGCTTGTAGTGAATAATATGTGTAACCAAACCTAAATATTTGAGCCTTGCCTAAATCTTTAACTGCAGCTGAATCTTTCACTCTATGACTCTATAGTGATACTTTCTTGGTTTAGGAAAAGGATTAAGTTTCTATCGGGCCTTGGCTTTATGAAAACAAAATAGAGCCTCATCTCAAATTCTCATTAGGAAAGTACTTTCGACAACGGAAATCTCCATGATGGCTCTAAAATCAATTTTCAACACCGATAATAAAATTTGAAATTCAAACAATGGTGCAGATATTGAAAATTTGTGAACATTTATTTTAAGGATGAAATGGACAGTCTAGATAATTTGTTATACTATACACTATTTTTTGAGCTTTAAAACCTATTTTTTATTCACAAACATAACGTTCAAGCCGTGATGATCGGTGAATGTTCCTCAACACTTGAATTGCAATTTCAATGAATTATGAAGTGATGCTTTACTCATTTTGATAGGGCTGCAGCCATATCAAACCATTTTCCTTGGGAGAAAAAAAAAAGACTTCATTGAGTCATCTTACTTCTTATTTTGAGATGTAAATTTTTTTTGGGTTAATATTCTTTTTTGGAAATACGTTGCTAGTGTTTTCTTTTTAACAAAACTTTTAAAAGGGAATACACTGGTGAAATTGTTATGGAAGTCTTTTCTAAATCAAGATTCGTAAATATATGGGAAAATTATAAAAAATCGCCCAAGTTGCACAATCTACTCAACTTACCCCCATCAAATTTGATTCTCTCATCTTTTTTCTATTAACATATATTCTTCGCAAAAACCCCGAACCCCAAAAACAGTAAAAAAAAGTCCATATTGCCCTCTCAAGCTTTTATCCCTCTCTCTCTCTCTTACTTTTTTTTTTTAATTTATCTTTTTACCTCACGGCCCTGTTTCTCTCTCTGTGTGAGGTCCCTCCCCACGCCCTCCCCCACGCTCCCTCCCCACGCCCTCTCTCACAGGCCCTGTCTCTTGCTCTCTCTCACGGTGCGAGCTCCCTCCCCCACGCCCTCTCTCATGACGGTGCAAGCTCCCTCCCCCACGCATTCTCTCACGGCTCTCATTAGCGCGACTCCCTCCCACGTTCTCTCTCACGACTGAGCTCCCTCCTCACGCACTCTTTCATGGCACAACCCCACCCAATATCGCCATTTTACCCAAATCAGCCCGACCCATTTTTACCTTAAATCAGCCCCAGCCAATAGCCCCATTTTTACCCCAAATCAGCCCCACCCAATAGCCCCATTTTTACCCCAAATCAGCCCCCCCCGATAGCCCTATTTTTACCCCAAATTTACCCCACCCGATGGCCCCATTTTTACCCTAAATCAGCCCCACCTGATAGCCTGAGCTTGATTTTTACCCCAATCCGCCCTACCAGATAGCCCGAGCTCGATTTTTACGCCAAATCAACGACATCTAAGGTAAATCTTTATTTATTTTTATTTCATATAAATTAGAGAAGATTTATTTAATAAATTTCAACAAATGTATTGTTGGGTCATTGTTTTTGTTGTATTTGATTTGTCATTGACAATGAATGCTTATGGTTTAAGATATATTTAAGTTTTTCTTATTAATTATTTATACTTAATTTAAAGTTTTAATTTGTTTTACCGTAGTATTTTCTTTAGGTTTCTTTGCATATTTTTCTCTAGCTTAAAATTATGAGTTTTTTATATTTTTCTGAGGTGATCCTCTTATTATGCAGTGAGGTCATTTACATGTAGATTATCTATTTTGATTTGTTTGAGTTACCTCGTATGAATTCATAAACTATAGCGTGTATTTTTGCTTGAGACTCCATTTTGGAGTGGATTTCGTGCTTTGGGCTATTAGAGGCATTTGGA